AGGCCCACTTGCCTGGCCTTTTTCCACACGGTCACCATCAATACACGGGTTCTCTTCAACCCGAGGCTCTTCACTCTATGCCCGGGTACTCAATGTCTTTTTTACCCTAGTATAAGTAGCAGTCAAGTGATGTCCTAGGATTGAAGTAACATATAGAGGAAACTTCGACACTTACTTGGCACTGGATCTCTTCTTCAGGGTGGGCTTTCCTAGTAATATTCCACTAAATGATCGACCCAGCTCTAGGCTTGATACTAATGCTGATAGCATTGAGTCCTCTTGATGACTCGCAGTGCTAGCACCCTGTCCAAGTGCGATCCCATCACTCTAAGTTGGCACTCGGGTGCTGAACAGGTTTGGTGGTGGCATCCTGCCAAGAGCAAATAAACATCACCAAGTATACCTATGTTAGAATTCAGTAACAGAATTTTACTCAGAAAGAATACTTACTGTCTGACAGAAAACGAGGTGTCTTCCTCCTCTTCTGGCTTTTCCTCCACAGCATCATGTGTAGTAGCTGTTCAAGAATTAAATTTAACACAAGGTAAAATTCAGACTACATGGATATAGTTCAGACATCTTTTACTTAGTCTCAGTGTGCAGGCTCGATGGGGCCTCTTGGGCACTGCTCTGCTCCCGACGGCAACATCGGCCTCCAACGACCGTTTCCCGCCAGTGGCTCCCTGCCTAGCACTTGGGTTTGCCTGGACTATGACGACGTTCGGGCTCCCTTCAGATTCGCTCCGGCTTCCTGGTCCATAGGGATGGCGGAGGCGGCGCTCCCTCCGTCTGCACCGGCACTTCGCTTCTTCTACAACATCTGAGACACCATATTTGCAAGCTTCAACCTCTGAGCCATTTCGCTTCTTCTACAACTAAGGTTCAAGTGCTTGCCAGGAGGGTTTTTATTGGCGTCTTGGTGTTGTCTATGGACTAGGTTCACGCGGAATACACGGACAAGCTACTAACTTCTACATAGGTTCACGTGCTACCCTACAAGGGTATAGTGCGTCCCACTACACCTTTTCAGTGTACAAACATCCTTTTTCCAACACATGTGAAGTCACAGTACAACCGGGACTACCTTTGATGGTAGATTCCCACGAATATCCTGAGCATCTTTGGACCAATTGTACTTAAGCTTTGTATGTGACTTCTACATGTCTTACCTGCTTCTGTACAAGCAGACATGGCAATAATTTTCGCTGACACTCTCATCCTCGAGTACATTCTTTTAGATCCTTGTCTCGAGTACAAATACTCGGACACAGGCTCGGGGGTTGTAGGGTACATATCCTCTATGGATGTTTTTTCTTTTAGACCCTCTAACTCTTTGTTTTGCAAACAGCAAGAGGCTCGGTGGCTACACTCAGTGACAACACTTTTCTGAAAAGTGCATGTCACTTGGAGGCTTTATAGAGCACCTCATGGCTTCACTCACGAAAGCACTCGGACTACGCTTGTTTCTACTCGGCAAGACCAGGAGGAACAAGAAGGCTTCCGAGTTCAACCATGACACGCTCGGGGGCTTGACGGACCAGGGTCCTAGGGGTTCCCCACGGGGTACTACTTGGATGGGCCCTGGGATGGCCCACGATCTGTTGAAGGACACGAGACAAGGTGGCGTAGATTTCAAGCTATTTAGATCGACGTAGTCGGCTTATTATGAAAGCTAGATTCTGTAATAGGTTTAGGACTCTTCTCTTGTAATCGACTAGGACTTGATACGTGCCCTTACCCTCTCCCCTATATAAAGAGAGGTACAATGCACCCCCTTGTAACCCTAACAATCATACAATCAATCCAACGTAAAAGGCTACACGTCGACTAGGCGTAAAGGTTGTTACTCGACAAGAGGGTTCGAACTAGTATAAATCGTTTGGCTCTTTGCGTTTACGGTCGAGTTCTGCGTACGCCAAAGACCTTTGAACACCGTCCAGGGTACCCCCGTGACGAGTTGCCGGTCATCAAACACTAACACATACCCAGTGGCACCAAAGCCGGTTACGCTAGTTGACATAGCGTTGTTGTTGTAGTTGTCCCCCTTGGTGCAGTGCAAAAGAGTTGCGGAAGTAGAGAGAGTCGTGTCACTTGTGGACTCTCCCCAAAAACCTGATAGTCGCCCTTCACCCGAGCAGATGAACGTAGAGACGGATTGGTTTCGGAGGGGTTTTGAGGTCTGCTCTCTCTATTCGCATAGACAGGACGGGGAGTACTAGTTGCAACAGAAGCAATACATGTGTTTGCACAAGAAGAAAAAACTGAATGACGGGATGAGTCTATTATCTCGCCCACTCCCACAGAAGTCCAAAGGTCTCATGGAAGTGGAACAATCGGGCCAGCTGTGTGGAAGACCAAAAGGCAGAAGAGCAAAAGAGATGCTCACAGAACAAACCCTCGGCGAAGCGGAACAGTGCTCATGAAAGAAACTCCTGGCGTTGGGGCCAGCTGTGCGATAGACCAGAAGGCAAAAGCGAAAGAGACGGTAGCCGTGCGGAAGACTAGAAGGCACAAGCGGAAGAGACGCTCATGGAAGAAACCCAGAAGGCAGAAGCGGAAGAGACGCTCATGGAAGAAACTACAGTCATCACTAGCAAAAACTTCCGAAACTCCTGTCGTCAACCGGCTTAAGTGGCAAAACTAAACCCGCAGCCCGCACTTAATAAGATGCGACATAAGACAAAAGGATGACATGGTAAGAATTTTATGAAGGGAGAGGAGATGAGTTTTCACTAGGATGAAGCTGAGTGTACAATTTCCAAGGCAATGGAACGTGTTGAAACTGACATTGAGGGCTAGAGAGTTTCATTTCATCTATCTGACTGTGCTCAATCATGTTCGTCCTAATCAAATGCTATGAGTTATGGAACCGTGAAATGAAATTGAGCACTAAAAGAATATATTTTATTCACTAGTTCTAACCCCTTTGTAGTTGATACGACAGTCTTGGAAACCATACAATGCAACTTGACACTAAGGATTTCTTCTTTCTCTCCTCAACTCTAATGTTGCATCATCATTTTGCTTACATAGCACCATTAATGCTATAGAAACCATCATAGTTATCCGGTTAGGATTGCATGCCTTAGAGACATATACCATCTACTCCCTCCCTCTCAAAAAAGGAAGTGTTGTTTTAGAATTTTTAGGACAAATTAGTACTCAATTGAAATTATTCATGTAACCCTATTTATTGAAGGTATGGTGATCCATACTACTCAAGGAATAAGCTACTAATTAAAAGAAATACATGGAGACATGCAGGCTACAATCTCAAGCTGGTGTGGATCCCAAGAACTAAAACATCAATTTTTTTGGGACAATTTTGAGCCCTAAACCAAGGGTTTATTGGACACAGGGAGTACAATGCATAGTATCATACTTTAACATCCAAAAGGCAATTAATTACTATGGTAAAAAAATGTTATATTTTCAGGTAATTTGATAGAGATCCTGATCAGTTAGAGCGGGTAGACCCAAACCAATTATTGGTTAAACATGTAGCTCCAAAGCAAAGTAAGCTGGCTAGGAAAAAGAGAGAGAGGAATACAGAAAAACAACTACATCTCCATAGGCCAAAGCAAACAGAATAAAGATCACGAGTGAATGGGAAGTGATGCAACGGATATGACGCAGGCACATGATGTTCACGCTAAGAGTAGGGACAGATCTAGGGATTTATCAAGGTCTATTGACCCTAAAAAATCTGTAAATCCTTTAGTAGTGTTGTAATTTAAAGAAAAATTATGTCCAAGTGCATATAAGCCGACCGAAGGGCGGGTCTAGTGCAAGCGGTAGAGTCTTACCGCCTGTGACCGAAAGGTTCCGGGTTCGAGTCGCGGTCTCCTCGCATTGCACAGGCGAGGGTAAAGCTTGCCACTGACAACCCTTCCCCAGACCCAGTACAGAGCGGGAGCTCTCTGCACTGGGTACGCATATAAGCCGACCATTTGGTGTGTACTTCACAAGACCATTTTGTGTGCACTTTACAATACGAATGAGCGTGACGCTCGTCTTTATTTGGCGATATCAGTTACCATTCTTATCATGTAGGGCTCAGAATCACCAGGGTATGTGTCTCATAACCATGATCCATGACGAGAAGCTAAATTGTCAAGACACTGAATTCTGAAACGTACAGTTCAGAGTTAAAAGTCACGCATGTTGACACTTTTGAGACTCTTTATAACATTTCGGAGAAAAGAGCCTTCTGTTTTTTTACAACACAAAAAAAGAAGAAGAAAAACATCACCACGGGTACAACATACATCTAAGTTAAAGCATACACAGGACAGAGGAAACATAGTAGTAGAATCTCCGAGCACAAAGCTACACCTAGCTCGTAGAACGGAGAAAAAAGGTGGCTCTGGCAGTAAACACAAGAACGAAACACAATATAGTGGTGCTGAGAAGCTCCAGACTTCAATCACCATGTAAAGCATTTGACGGGGCCTGACTTTATTAGTAGTACCTACGCCAGTATTCGATCACAGGATCGAGAGGGATCATGCATCGGTTGATGCCTGGGTCACCAAAGCGTGTCGATGGCAGGTGTGTTGCTGTCGAGTCCAGCCGCAAAACTGCATTGGGAAGAGCTCACCTGTTACTGACACTGCGGTGCATCCATGGTGGCAGATTGCCGCTGTTTGCTTGTACAGGAGCAGGAGACGGTTCAGGCTCAGATTCTCCTGCCCCTCTAGGTTGACATGGCCTACAATTGTGACGATGAGTAAATTAAGTAATTATGCTGGACCACTATTGTAAAGTGCAGTGCACAATGGAAATACCTTTGACAGATTTAGCTACCAAGGTGAAACCTTATTCTGTTTTCAGGTATGCTTAGCATTCAGCAAAGCTACTCAGGCATGTATATTTCAACCTTTAACCAATACCCTTCATAAATTCTTCATTTATTAACAAATCTTGGCATAGTTAATCATCAGTGAAACTACTACTTATTATCAATATTTTTTGCTAGAAATGAAGCGCAACATTTCAGTTTAGTTGTGTGCAGTAATGAATTCAGTGGAAGCATGATACCCAATATTTAGAGTTGGCATGGAATCTGGAACCATTGGTGGTGACAGTGATGGGGAACTTGTTGATGCTCCATTTTGCTGCTCCCGGAGGTGTGCGTTCATTAAAGCATTGTTTTTCTCCTTCTCTGCCTCCATGAGCTGTTTTCAAAAATACAATTACCATCAAGGTCTGACCTCCTAGACCAACATTGTCTTTTTTTTTGATAGGACATAAACGAGAAAGGAAACTTTACCTTTTGCAGGACACCATTTTGATCTGTAAGTGCTTTCTCCTGCACACATGAAGACAAGTGATTGTAAAGATGCACCACAAATCTTATCAGCAATCAATATTCTGGGATTCTTACAGGTTTGTTGCCAGACCAGCAATAGTTATAACAACTAGTCTGCTCAAGCACTTCGACCTGAGTGCTTTCTTTCTCATTATCCTTTTCACTATTTCATGGTAAAATGTCACTCATAGTAAGCCATTTCCTAAGTTTAGGGCGTCCACCGGAGATCAGTTTCGTCCAATTCAAACTAACTCATTTCATGCCCCCTCCCCCCTATTCCACCCATGATGCAATGGTTATCAGTTTGTCCTGTCTCCCACTTGAAAACTAACTTGCATTTCCTAAAAATATCGAAGGGTGACCCACACAGATTCACGTCTTCCACTGATGTGTTCCCTATCTGAGACTTGTACAGATAGAGACAAAACTTGATTCTGGTTTAGAGTATATTTCTGTAACAGTTACGTTCAAAATATATTTCTGTAGCAGTTGCATGATGAATGGTGGCAGCAGATTGCGAATGTTAAACTACATTGAAAATACATTAATCTCAATGAAACATTTGCTCTCATTCCCCAAATTCTGGAGGTGTGCTCGTAACAATAATTTTCACTAGTGACTCATGTAACACATGCAGAATGCGAGGTACAAGGGAATCTAGAGTGTAACTGACCTTTTTCTGAAGCTTGGAAATTGAATCGAACATGAGCTGATTCTGTACCAAAAAAACAAAGCTATAATATAATAATTGACTAAGACGTTAGTGAATAACCAAATTAGCTGTGCACCGAACAACAAATTTAACCCCAATTTATTCACCTTTCTTGACCTAATATGCTTCAAAGAACTGTCCAATTGTTGCTCCAGTTGCTGGAGTTCTTTTATGGTCAGTGAATCCAATTGTTCTCCTAACAGATGCCTTCCGTTGGGAATAAACAGATACAATAAGTCAGAGTCAGTAAACATTATCATAACAAAGGTCATCTTGAGCAAGTCAGCTGTACCTTTGACTCTTCTGAAGTGCATCAAGTTTGGATTTTAACCGGACATATTCATCTCCCCAATTTGCCTGGTATAAAATGGACCACATATCAATGCTCATTTTGCTGTAACAATAGTTCTCTGATAGTTATAGTAGATATTCCCATAACTATACCTGGTCTTCAATACTTGGGTCAAGTACTGCTCTTTCTTCAAATGAGTACCGCTGGTAACGCTCAAGAATGCCTTCCATGCTGCAAAATAAGTATCATATAGCAATGTCATGTTCCAGCAAAAAATATTGTGGTCTCATTTTAGAACATAAAATACTAAGACAAATAGCCAGGTACAATTTTCTTTTTCTTGTACTTTTTATATTACTATATTAAGTATACTAGTCTTGCATACAAGTACAAAACAACAAAATTCACGATGCATGACATTCAATACATCAAGATTTAATTTCTCCCTATTTAAGAAATGCAAGATGCCAAGATGTATACAAGTATATTCTCCCGATTCCAGAACCAGAATTGCAGAAGACATTGGATGAATCACATGCATAACTAGATGCAAGCATGGTTCTGGAAAAACGTGTGTCATCACATGCACATAAGTGGGTTATTACTCAATGAACAAATGGTGCTTCATATATAGTTGCATGAACTCAGAAAGGCTGTTTTAGAACAATGAAACAAGTCAAGACTACATAATGATGTAAAAATAACTCTAAAATGTAGCGAGCTACTCAGTTGCTTGTGCAACCAAAAATTTACATCACTTTGACACTATAATCAGGTGGATAGATCTAATATAATATTTTAGACAGATTTGGTATCTACCTTCTTTGTTGGGACTGAGCAGTAAAGTTTGTAACATCTTCAGTAAATTAGCAAAAGTATAGTGATATATACATTTTTTAGGAATCGGTTGATATTCTCAATTCAGACTCGTAACTGTAATTAGCACAGTTTTCTATAATCCACAGCATATAAAAATGGCTCTACCTTAAACCACATCATATTATTTTTTCTAAAATAAAATTCATTACCGGCTTAGGTATGACCTGTAGTTTCAGCTAAAGAAAAATGCATCAAGTTTTGCCATGACTCAAGCCACAATCTCTATCAAGTTTGGATCTTATCACCAGCACATATCGCTCGTGTGCAAAAGCTAAAACGTGCTTATTGTTTTGTTAACATACATATTTTCTCTCCAGCATTAGAGAAATAATCCAGAGTAAGTTATCTTTCAGTGAAATTTTCCCTGAATCAATCAGTTATATATGAATATGCTGCAAGGACACAATATGTACTCATGCCAATTTATTCTCCTAGAATCTAACTTGTAGCAGCATAAGGTCAAATTGTGCTATAATCAAGCATCCATTTTCTATCATAGCCGTGTTGTTTACTTACTAAATAAAGGAACTAAACTTCAAACTGTACTTGAATATGGGCCAAAGAATCAAACTAATGTTTAAATATTACGATCACCTTGCACACCACTTATATAATACTAAAATGTGGAACACGGACAGTCTCTTAATATATGACACACATGCATGTATCAGAGACACACCACGCAAGAGCAGAATTGTTCTTCTGGAATTTCTGAAAATATTCGGATAAGTCATAACAGTTGTCCATAACTCTTCTACAGCATGGCAGCAACAGCTGTTTCTATAGAAACTAGAAAAGTCGGCGCGGCTTTGCCGCGCCCTTCTTGGAGTGCGGCAATCTAGCATTTTGGTGTTACCCTGGTATTGTTACTTGATTTAAACATGTATGTTTTATAGCGTGAATTAACATTATTAACATTTATGTCAAAAGGTCACAGCAGTTTAGTAACAAAGGGCCAGTACTTAGAGCGAAAGGTTGGTCTACGAGATCATACATTAAACCACTACTGGTATACGAGGATTCTGATGTTGAGCTAAGTGTCATGGTTAATATTTACAGCAGAATCATAATCAGGAGTTCAAATATTTCCTCAAAATATCATTCCAAGGATGGAGTGATCAATACTTTATACGTATACCATGTAAAGGCAATAATGTGCCTAGCTTACCTTGTCCCATGTATGCAATGATCAATGCTTTATACACCATGTAAAGGCAATGTGCCTAAGCAATTTTGTCGGAGAATAATTTACCATATATTGCTTATAGGATGGAATACAGGAAGAATGAGCTTGCCTTATACTTTATTCACCTATACCAACAACTGTTTAAGAAAGATCATGGTATCATTACTAACCTGAAAAGAGTAGAAGGGTCACCTTATAGTGAAGAGGCACTCCAAAGATGGAGGTATATGAAATCGTGGTATCAAAGTTGGCAAAGGTAGTTCAAGCCAGCGCTCAAGGGTTAATATCATCTATGGCACCACAAACAGTATCAGAACAAATATGGCAAAAGCTATTTCGTGACCAGTCGCGCTCCTGCGTGACCGCCTGGCCTGCTTGCATAAGTACGCGGCCTGGCTTTGCTTGCATGCGTACACGGCCTGGACGCTTGCACGTACGTCTCGCGTCATGGTCTGCTTGCACGTGTCTCGCGTACATACGGCATGGTCTGCTTGCACGTGCGTCTCGCGTACATACGGCATGGCCTGCTTGCATGCGTGACTCGGCTGCTTGCATGCGCTACGGAGCGTACGGCGGCAGTATTGCGACGCCGGTTTTTTTTACCTTTTGTTTTCTTTAGTTTCATTTTCTATTTTTCAATTTGAGTTAAATTTCTTGGCTGTCAACTTCAGTTTCAGTCTTTTTTTTCATTTGTATTTTTTCAATTTCAGTTTAATTTCTTGATTGTCAACTTCAGTATTTCACTTATTATTTTGAGTGTGTTGTATTTTCAGTTTCTATATTCTAGTTTTCAGTCTTTTTTTCCGGTGTTTTTTTAGTTTCAGTTTTCAGTCAAGTTTTTTTTTTAGTTTTCAGTCTCCCTTTTAGGTTCGAATGTTTTCCTAAATACTATATATTAATTGCCTCACCTACAATGTATAAGTTGTCAGAAAAGGGTAGTCATTGCATACATAAGTTGCCACAAAAGAATTTCTCTCTCAGCTTGTACAACAGCTTCCATGTTTAAGTTCGTTGCAATAATTTGCCCCCAAGTTGTATAACTATAGTATTACATGGTAGTAACTCTTTTTTGATATTTTTTACCCCCCAGCTTGTGCATACTGTGGAATAACATAAGTATATTTTTGAGTAGCAACTTTAATTTTACATGGTAGTAACTTCTTTTGATTTTTTGCCCCCGAGCTTCTACATACCATGTAAAAACTTTAGTATATTTTTGAGTAGCAAGTTTAATATTACATGGTAGCAACTCATTTCATAAATCTCCTAGCACCTTTTTACACATAAATTGTTATTGAAATAAAATTCTTTGAAACATAGGCAAGTGGGGTCTAGTTTTGTTCGTCTCGTCACGTAGAACACACTAATGAAGACGGAATTGAAAACAGATACAACATTAAAAAATTATAGCCGTTCAAGGAAAAAACGTTGTGCTTTTTTTTTGTTTCAGCTGACAGCTAGCTGACTGCAAATGGATACTTTCCTAAAACGGGATTGGTCGGGTCGCTGAGGAGAGGAGTGGAGTCGCGCGGAGGGTGGTCGCGCTCTCTCCTAGAAGCGCAATGGTCGCGCGTTAACCTGGCCCAATAAATATGGATGAGGTTGAGAAGTGTTGAGTATCCTAAGCAAATCCTGGTGGCAAATAAATAAGATATTCCAAAGATAAGAGCAGAATCCTGATGAGGCAATGCAGTATGTAAGGGCTCATTTGGTAGAGCTTCGAGTCTAGCTAAAACAGCTTCAGTTGTGGCTCCACCTATGGAGCAGATTCACTTGGAGAGCTAAAACCGTTTTTTAGACTGTTTGACAAAACAGCTTATCCAAATAGGCGAAAAAGGTAAAATATCCAAACTCCATTTTTTTCTTTTTTTTCCTTTTCTTTCCTTTCTTTCTTTTTTTCACTACCTTATCCGTCGCTCATGGTCCAACCGACGCGCAACGCGAGACGCGACCTCGGATCCTCTTCTACCTCCTCGATCGCTGCACGCCATCTCGCCGAGGCTCGCGCCTGGAGTGGCCCGGTGACTTGCGCTCCCGCGACCTCCTCTTCTACCTCCGGTCGCTGCACGCCATCTCGCTGATGCTCGTGCCTGGTGTCGGTGTTTTCGGACCACTAACGAGTAAATTTGTATTTGCGTGTCTGGCTCGGATGGTGTGCTCGGAGGACACAAGGGTTTATACTGGCTCGGGCAAAATGTCCCTACATCCAGTTCGCTGCTGCTCGTGTTACTGGCACTTAGTTTGCAGTAAGGGTTATAAACAGGCGAGAGAGAGAGGATCCCAAGTCTCTGGTGGAAAGAGTGAACATGTGTTGAGAGCTCGCTTGCCGCTCGACCGTATGTTCGTGTCGCGCTCTTCTCTTCCCCATCCCCGGTAGGGGCGCCCTGCTTTTCCTTTTATAGGCGAAGGAAAAGCGCGGGTTACAGAGGAGGAAAAGGAGAAGAATGAGAGAGAGAGAAGAAGGCTTACAGGGTTGTCGGGTCCTTCTCCTTCATGCGGGTCCCGCCGATCCTGTAGATGTCAATAGGGATGGCTCCATGTCGCGGCCCTGTTCGTCACTGGCACCATGTGCAGGTGTCATCTACCGGTCATGGCGTTCCACTCCGTCTCGACGGACGTCGTGGTGAACTGACGCGTCTGTCAGCGTCCGTACAAGGATTAGGCAGAATAGCACCGGCACGTTCGGCACTGTTCTTGATGTGAATCCCTAGGTATGGCCCGTCATGGCGACGGGTTACATCAAGGGGTGCCAGCCTCTTCCCTGGCGTCAGAGTTTTGACCCAGGCCCATATGCTTGGACCTAGAGTGGTTGGCGGCGGTATGGGTCCCCGTCGGACGAGATGGAACTTGCGTCCTCGAGGTCGGGCGAGACGGAACCGGCGTCCTTAGGGTCGGGCGAGACGGAGCCCGCACCCAAGGGGTCGGGCGAGACGGAGCCCGTGGCCTCGAGGTCGGATGAGACAGAGCCCGCGGCCTCGAGGTCGGGCGAGACGGAGCCTGCGATCTTGGGGTCGGGCGAGACGGAGCCCGCACCGAAGGGGTCGGACAAGGCGGACTCACGGCCTTAAGGTTGGGCAAGACGAAGCCCACAACCTTGGGGTCAGGCGAGACGGAGCCCGCACCCAAGGGGTCGGACGAGGCGGACTCACGGCCTTAAGGTCGGGCG